GGGGAGGCTGTCTCGGTTGGGCCTGTTGGCTTCGATAGCGCCGAGCAGGACCGGCCGCTTCACCCTTTGAAAAGGGCCCTTCGGGGGAAAGGGGGGCCGCGGGGTAAGAAGTCGAACAATTCGCCCACGTTAGGGGCTTTGTTCCGGGGTGCCGAACGGGAGGAATGTTGCCCTGCTGCAGGAGAAGGCGAGCAAAGAAGGAACAGCAAAGAGAGATTGTGGAGAGACCCCTCAGGAAAACGAGGCAAGCGCCAGAGATCGCGAGGAGGAGGAGGAGGAGCTGCAGTCGGAGCATTCCTCCGCAGATGAGAGCGTCTTCGCGAAAGCGGGTAACTAACGCTGGCGTTGACCCTCTGGCTTGCCTTGGTAGAAGGCATTCGGCTTTCATTTCTTGTGGTTGCGGGGGGAGCATCGTCCCCTGCTGTTTATAAGCTGAATGAATTCCAGAGATCTAGCACGTCCTATGGTAGAAAGGACCAGGTCACACTGAAATAGAATTAGGTGGTTTCTAGTTCAATCTATCACGAGAACCCATTTTCTTATACGTTACGTACGAAGCTGTAATGGATTATTTGTTCGGGCATCACATAACACGCAAATGCTAATTTAATCTGGATTTAATACACGCCAAGACAACCAAGTAGTACTTGATGTCATTTCATAAGCTTAAATGATAGATTAATTAATTGTGTAATGAACGCCTCACTTAATTCCATTTGTCATGTACAAAATTGCTCTTGAATTTTGTAATGTAAGTACACAGCAATTGCCTTTTTTGTAGATACGCTTAAGCTGAAGCAGCGGTGGAAACGGAAACAAGTTGAAAAGGAGGTGAGCATTAGGGGGGTGAAGTCAGACCAAGCGGAGGGGCTATCAAGTCCAACTGCTTTGCTCAGTGCAGGAATCCAGGTGAAGCCATCTCGGGTAGACAGCCGTCTGACGTCTTTTTCTATCGCAAGTTGTCTTAAAAGCACTGGAGGGTGGCTGGATTGGGTTCACGCACTGCACCAAGTGTTCACATAATTGGTTCGGTTTTGGATTGTTTGGTGTGTGTGCTTGATCATTGCAACACATCCCTCGTTTATAGCTTAGTTTTATGCATATGCTAGACTGCCGTGATTTGTTCGCAAAGAACGGTTAAAATAAAATTGGCTTTGTGCAAAGTGCTACCAGATGAGCTTTTATGTAATGTGGCTGGGTGTTCACATTCTTGCTTTTCTGTGGCCTAATTTTTAGGAAGCTGCACAGTTCTTTCAGGAAGATGCTTCACAATTCGATGATAGTTTGTCCTTCCAAGACATGAACCTCTCTCGGCCCTTGCTGAAGGTATCCTTTGAAGTGTGGGATTTGGGGTGTCTGATCTCTTTTGTAAAAACAAATCCCAAATAAATTTGAGATGCTACGTCTGAAGATCCAGTGTTGTGATAGGGCCCTTGCTCCAAAAAAGCCATCTAGGCAGAAAGGTAGCATAGACGTCAAATAAATAATGGTAAAATAGAACAGGATAGCAGACAATCTAGGAGACAGCAAGTTTGTCTAATCCCAAATAGCTGTTTGGAATAGAGTGAAGATTTGGAGGCTTACCAAGGGTTTTTGCATTTGATAGCTTTGGATGATAGGATGTCATAGAATTCTAGAGGTGGGTTCCAAACAAAAACTATTTTTTTTCGTGCAGTTCTGTTGGTCGTATGGGACATATAGCACGATATTTATTTATCTATTTATTTAGATACACACACACACGCACGCCACCCATCTCCCCCAGAGGGTGACTCTGGGTAGCTCACAATTAAAGTAAAACCCAAAAGCAGTTAAAAAGATAAGTATCCACGTTAATTTAGTTAGAAAGTCAAACTTTATAAAAAAAAACTCATAAGCGTAAAAGAATTGGACGGTGATGTTGCCCAGAATCTGCAAGTCCTGTGGACCTTGCAGGAAACAAAAGAGCAGAGAATCTGCAGTGGAATGGGTTGAAACAGCTACTTTTTAACCACCTTCCTCTTTGGCAGAGTGTATTCTTCCTGCAGAAATGGGATAGATTAGATGATTAAAAGAGGTAAACGTTAAATATGAGCAGTAAACCCTGGTTCAGGAAAAAAGTACTTTGTTCTTTGGCAAAAGCACTTTCTGGTAATCTAACCAGACCTCTACTGGGACTGCTTCAGATATTTGCCTACTGACCTACATACGCTGTCTCTGCTGACAGGCCATAACTGCCCTGGGCTTCAAACAGCCTACCCCGATCCAGAAGGCCTGCATCCCTGTAGGACTGCTGGGGAAGGACGTATGTGCGTGTGCGGCCACGGGAACAGGTATTTTGCGCCCGGTTGGAGACAGGAATGGGTTTGAGGTGGCTTGTGGCCACATGTGGATCTTGTTTTTTTCTCCTGCCTCCCAGGGAAGACCGCAGCCTTCATCCTTCCTGTCCTGGAGCGCCTGATCTACAAACCTCGGCAGGCCCCTGTGAGTCGTGTGTTAGTGCTGGTGCCGACCCGGGAGTTAGGCATCCAAGTGCACTCGGTTACGAAGCAGCTGGCTCAGTTCAGCAGCATCACTGTTTGCCTGGCAGTAGGTGAGTGACCTAGCTTTGGGCATTATTACGGCCAACTCATTGACCTGCCTGTCATTTGAGAACTGTTAGGCTGCACGCAGTCTGTGTTGTTGCAGGTGGCTTGGACCTCAAGACCCAGGAGGCAGCCCTGCGCTCCGGTCCCGACATTCTCATTGCCACTCCTGGCCGCCTCATTGACCATCTGCACAATTGTCCCTCCTTCCACCTGGGCAGCATCGAGGTCCTCATTCTGGATGAAGCCGATCGGTGAGAGGATGGCTTAATTGCCCTGGGGCAGAAATGCGGTGCCAGCCCTCCTCTGGCCCTCTGAGCTTCTCGGTCCTAGCTTTGTATTCTGTGCCGGGGAGAGGGCTGGCCTGGACATTTGCTCATGTTCCTCTTGTGCACCAGGATGTTGGATGAGTATTTTGAGGAGCAAATGAAGGAGATCATTCAGATGTGCGGTCGACATCGCCAGACAATGCTCTTTTCTGCAACCATGACAGACGAGGTACTGGAGGAGGCCCAGCGTGAAGGAGGGCGGGCAAGACAGGAAGTGGGTAGCTGTCCAGTGGCCGGGAGGAGAACACCTTGCCTTGTCCAGCAGTGCTGCTCTGGAGCAGTAGAGGAGGCCTTGTTTCTGTCAGATCTGCTGCTCTGGAGGAGAACATTTGGGCGCTGTTTCTGAGATGGGAGGGGACAGGGGGGTTGGGAGGCCCTGGGGGCAGGGCTGATTAACCACCTTCCTTTTTGGCAGGTCAATGATTTGGCTTCGGTTTCTTTGAAAAATCCTGTCCGGGTCTTTGTGAACAGTAACACAGATGTGGCCCCCTTTCTGCGCCAGGAGTTTGTCCGCATTCGGCCCAGTCGTGAGGGGGACAGGGAAGCCATTGTGGCAGGTGGGAGCTGGTGGAGGTGGTCTCTGGAGCAGCTCCAAGAGGGGGACCCCGGCAGTGCTGAGTCTCCCTCTGCTTTTCAGCTCTGCTGACTCGGACATTCCCAGACCATGTGATGCTTTTCACCCAGACCAAGAAGCAGGCCCACCGCTTGCATATTCTCCTGGGCCTGATGGGTTTGCACGTCGGTGAGCTGCACGGCAACCTTTCCCAGGCCCAGCGCTTGGAGGCTCTCCGGTAGGCGGAGGAGTGAGTGGGCGGGAGGGGAGAAGGGTTGGGGCTGGGGCTGGCCTTTTTACAGGGCCCTTTCTTTGCAGGCGATTCAAGGATGAGCAGATCGACGTGCTCGTGGCCACAGACGTAGCTGCACGAGGCCTTGATATTGAAGGCGTCAAAACAGTTAGGTTCCTCCTTGGTCCTCCCCTCAACCCCCAACCCATCTCTCTTTCCTGCTGGAAGATGCTCTTTGCTGCCTCTGTACTTGCAGGTGATCAATTTCACCATGCCCAACACCACAAAGCACTACGTCCACCGAGTGGGGCGCACAGCTCGGGCAGGACGTGCGGGCCGCTCCGTGTCCCTAGTGGGCGAGGAAGAGCGCAAGATGCTGAAAGAGATTGTCAAGGCTGCCAAGGCGCCCGTCAAGGCCAGAATCCTCCCCCAAGGTAATAGCTGTGGGGAAGGGGGTGCAGGACAGGTCCAGCGCCAAGCGGTTAGATTGCTGCTTTGCCACAAGGGACTTAGCGGCAGCCCGTGCTGTATCTCCAGATGTGATTCTGCGCTTCCGGGAGAAGATTGAGAAGCTGGAGCCAGATGTGTACACTGTGCTGCGCCTGGAGCGGGAAGAGCGGGAGCTGCAGCGCTCGGAGGCCCAGGTGGGCAGATTGGGGAACCACCACAGGCTGGATTTTCTCCCTGAGCGGAGGCGGATGGCTGCTTTTCCGGTTGCCCGATCCACCCGGTGTTTCTCCAGGTGGCTAGTTCAGGGGACTTCACTTGACCTTCTGAAAGAGCAACGAAATGACATCTTGGTGACGCAAGCCTGGGCAGAAAGTGAATTGTGTGTTGCATTTCAATGCCTGCTGGTAGGAGCTGCCGTCAGGTGGTGGGCGACGCTGTCTCAGCTGCTTCGCCGGAGGATAACTAACCTCTTTCCCTTCTTCCCTCCCACCTCGCCAAGGACAAAGGAATCTGGTCCTGTAGCTACCTTGCTTTTTTGGCTGGCCTCATCAAGATTATTCTGCGTCATAAGGCTGGATTTGATACTTTGATTTCAGAATGCACTCTGACCAGAGTCACTTTGCTCTTCTTCCAGATCAGTACTGCAAAGCGGAAGCTGGAAACTGGGTCTCAGCAAGCAGCTGGAGGCACTACCCGCAGCTGGTTTCAGAGTCAGGAGGAGAGGAAGAAGGAGAAGCGTAAGGGTTGGCTCTGGGAGAGGGCCTGGGGGCT